TAAAAATCTTGGAGGTCCCGTGTGCAAATTGAGCACGTTAAAGATCCCTTGGTGGTCCAAATCGATAAGAGTAGGCTTCGGCCGCCACCAGGACAAAATTCAAAATTTCCTTCCAACTGAAAATGTTCAATGTGTCCCGCACGCTCACAGACTTTATGTAGTTGCAAGCGCCGTAAAACACTTACACCTAAGGGGAACGTAAAGGTAATGGAACTACCATAGTAGCAACCTCCAACCACCCACAACAATATCAGTCATCTAGAGCAGAGGAGAAAAAACTCCCCAAAAACGACAGAGACAAAACTGATCAAGATGAAGAAAAGAAGTAGAACATACCACTAGTGCCTTCTAAATATCTGAGTGACACAATTTTTGATCAAAGATTAAACACAATTCTGAATAAGTTTCACAATAATGGTCCTTGTTCCATTTTGGCACATACTACAGTGGCGCTTTCTCCTGCGACCAGAAAGACAATTTTTTAAAGGTTAGACACATTTGAGAACAGTTTTCACTCTAATTTATCTAGTCCCATCTTAATTTCAGAGGAATCCTTCAAAACTTTTACTCGGTGGGAAATTGTTACGTGCTGTTAAGATGTGGTCTGAGAACATAGAACTCATTTTGAACCACGTGCATTACTGTCTGAGCCACTTCTTTATTTAATAGAAAAATGTTCTGGTCAAGACTCACTCACTTGGGGAGTTTTCTGATCTGAGCAAACACCGACATTTTGGGAATTTTTCGGTTACTTCAAAGGAGGTGCTGTACTAAAGGTATGTCTTTCTTTCTTCCTTTTTGTTGTTATTTGCTGTTGTTGCTGTTGTTGCTGTTGTTGCTGTTGTTGTTGTTGCTGTTGCTGCTGCTGCTGCTTCTGAATTGTTGTTGTTGTTGCTGTTTTAGTTGCTGTTAACTCAATGCAAAAGGAACCCCACCGCCAAGAAAGCCACATTAAGCTAGGCTTCAATATCATTGAAAAAATATAAGAAAAGAACTCTATGAATGCGGGTTCACCGGTGACAAAACCTGGCGTGAAAGTTTCAAAGTATGTTGTATTTTCGAATTTTCTCTCAGTTCGAAGAAAACTGAGGATCTTCAAAAGTTGTCAATTTAGTTGAAAAAGAGAGCACTGAACTCAACCACTTTGTAGCTAGTTGCATGCCCCTGGTAAAGTTTAGCATATTATTATTATTATGCATACTAATATTACGAGTACATAATGATCACCCCGAAAACTCATGGGGGTAGAAGTGTGTTCGGTCGTCTCATATTGCGGGGATTATCACTTTACCACCGGACTGGACATACCGGTGGGGCAGGTTCACAGTGGCTACAGCACAGAAATAGTCAACAGCCAGTCCAAACTTAACCACGTCTGAGCTGACCGCTGTGACGTAACCCAATCGGGGTTGCGACAGTTTGCCATTGCCCCAAGCCTCGATGAGCTCAGCGGGAAAGGATCACGAGGCGTGGTGCTGAGTTTAGACTTGATGAAGTATACAATTACAAAACACGCTATACGCCAAATCCAGGCATTTTATTATTTTTAAAGTAATGTTTTGAACCCCCCCCCCCTCCATGCCTCCATTTACAGACAGGAGGAAAACAATTTTTTTCCCAAATCCTCTATAGGACGTTGTTTAATTAATTTTATTTCTTTCTTGTCTGAGTTTGACGTGATCGAACACACAAACAGGTTATTCTGAGTTCGAGCGCCTTGATGATGGGGTTTAGAAGTCTGTTGCCATACCAAGACCTCGAACTTCTTATCAAATTGATTTAGATGCGAATACATGTATTTTACGCCCCAATCGACACCATTTACACCATTCAGAGGAAAGGCTGTTTTGACCTTACCGGACAGGCTAACCCAGGCTGAATACTATACCTAAGCAGATAGACAGGGATGCTCTATAATATATTAAAATATTGAGGACTCGGATTCTGGCCATTCGATAATGTTTGAAATCACGCTGTTTTGGGGCGCTTTAGAAAATGATAACTTTGTTATTCATAGATCAAAATTGTTTGTTTTCTTTGTCTGACACTAAAAGAGGCAGGCAAAATCTCGAAGGAAATGAGAAAGTGTATAACCCATCGTTAAGAAAAGGACATGTTTATTGATATTTCCCAAAGACTGCAATTTTACCATTGCCTTATCGTATTTGAAAAAGTAAGGAAAACTTCATTAGTTGCTTTAAAATGACAACCTTCTCACATCTACTTTTCTAAAAATTTTCAACATTACAAACGAGCTTACATCACTCCCCTTCAGTCTACACGATTGATGGCGCTCATATGACCTTAAAGCAGTTGCGAACGCCGTAAAATCCTCTGATATAAAAAAAAAACTACGCGATTGGTAACAACACCGTCACTGAGATTTATACATACCAATGAAGCAGCTGGGTTCTTTCGAGTAACCAATCTTAGGGACCTCAACTGTCCCGTCACCAGCTGCAGCTCTGTTGACAAAGCGACGAAGTTGCTTTCTAGGCGTACGTTAGAGAAAAGCTGGTTAGATTTAGGAGGCGTGAGTTTTGTCAGAGCTAACTTGACATGAGAGAGCTACAACATCACAGCAGAAAGACCGGGGTACTCGATAAACTGTTTCTCCCCACTACGAAATCGAACTTGTGTCTCCTGGGGGCGACAGCGAAAATCCTAACCACTTACATTACCCATGCCGGTACTACACTCTTGTTCTTTAAAACTTTTAAAAAGAAATCTCATCTGAAGGGTTATGATTTTAAAAATCTATAAATAATTTCCAAACACAGGGATCCAGACAGACAAGTGTACACAAATATGGACACATGAACACAAGTGTACAAAGACAAGCAAACCCATGCAAACACACACACACACACACACACACACACACACACACACA